TTCACTTTGTTATAAAGCAGAAACTAACACACCATTGTAAAGCAATTATACTCCAATAAAGATGTTAAAAAAAACCAAATTATATTCATTATCCCAGATTTAAGACAGATAAAATGCCACTGCTATAGCTATTAACTTGGCATGGTATTTTTATTGCTTTATTTTGAAGAATTGAAGACCATTATTGTGAATTTCCTGAGTTTCTCTCAAACCAATATTTCCCTTAAAATGGTACGTTTTTCTGTTGTGAATTCTTCCATAGCATTTTTAGGATCATGACTCCTGCATCTGGGAAGGGAATATTTTATGGAGCTTAAGGTGAGAGTGACGTCCCAGAAGTATTTTGAGGGCATTTGATAATCAGACTGAACATTAGTATGTGTTCACCCAAAGAGTTAGGTTCTTGGTTCTGCTTATTTGTCTTCAGAGTCAACTGTTCTCTGGGCTTGGTTCTTGCAGCAAAGGTAGGGGCACTTTGCATTACATCATCAGCTTGAGCTCCCCACCCTTACTTTATGACAGTCCTGAGAACTTTCCTGAGCAGGTTCTATCCTAAGAACATTGGTTTCATTCTGCTTGTGAGAGCGATTTACTTCTAACCCCACAGGGATTACAAAGTTGAAGTATAGTCATCTCTGCTTAGAAGTTCAAAACATGTTTTTTTCTGATTTGAGTTTTTATAATGACAAAATAGAAGGAAAAATAACCAGTCAAAACTGTTTGTTGAACAACTGTTGCTTACCTGAGTCAAAATAAGGTGACTGGACACCCTCCATTTGGGCCAGAATATCTGTTAGGAAATGGGTATGATGTGAAATGTTGGGAAATAAGTGTGTTATGGTAGCTTGGGTTAATATTTTAGAGCACCCTGAATTTTGGGTAACTGCTGAAGCTTTCTGAGCAGGGGAGTGCCATGATCAAAGCAGTACTTCCGAGGATTAGTCTGCCCACAGATTGCAGCAATGCCCTGGCATTTGGCACCAGCCCTTAGTTATAGGTTCCTGGTCATTTGTTGTGGGAGTGGCAGAAAGCGAAAGGCCAGTTGAGAGGCTATTTTTGTTCCCTGGGGATCAGGAAATATGAAGCTGAGAGTGAATGGTGACAGTGGGAGTAAAAAGGGACAGATTCCTGGGAAGTTGTGGAGAAGGAAGGGACAGTCTGACAACCTGACGGAATATAAGCAGGGAAGAAGGAAAAGGCCTTAGTCGTCATGTCAGGAGAAAGCAAGATTTTCTCCTGATGAAAATGTTCAGCATGGGACTTCTCTGGTTGTATAGTGGTTAAGAACCTGCCTGCCAGTGCACGGGACATGGGTTCGATCCCTGGTATGGGAAGATCCCGTATGCCTTGGAGCAACTAAGCACGTGCGCTACAACTGTTGAGCCTGCTCTCTACAGCCTTCGAGCCACAACTACTGAGCCCACATGCCACAGCTGCTGAGCCCAGGCGCTGCAACTACTGAAGCCCCTGTGCTCTAGGGCCTGCGTGCAGCAGCTACTGAGCCCACGTGCAACTGTTGAAGCCTGGGCGCCTAGAGCCCGTGCTCCACGACAAGAGAAGCCACCGCAATGAGAAGCCCGCGCACCGCAATGAAGAGTAGCCCCACTCGCTGCAACTAGAGAAAGTCCACGCACAGCAACGAAGACCCAACACAGCACCCCCCCGCCAAAAAGGAAAAAAAAGATGTTCAGCAGACAGTCTGGTGGAAGTGTTAGGTACTACCCTGAGTATGTGGATTTGGGGAATCATCTTTGTGTAAATGCTAGTTGAAACCCTGGAATAAAGAAAAAGAAGAGAAGAGGGCTGAGTGTCCCACCCTGGGCAGGGTTGCAGTAGTGGGAGAGGAGCAGCAGAGTAAACAGCAGTTGGGAAGATGGGAAGAGGAATAGGATGTCACTTAAACTGAGGTAGGAGAGAATTTCAAAGTCGAGGGGATTATCCATCAAACTCTAGTAGAAAAGCTGAGAAAAGGAGTTATTGTGCAGGTGGAGAATTCTTAGAGTTGATGGGTTTGGGTTTATGTAGGGAA